ATTTATTTAATATTATATTATATTTAATTAAAATCACATAAAATTATAAACTTACAATCTTATATAATATTATAATTATAATATTATCAAAAAAAAAAATCACATAAAATTATAAATTTATAATCTTATATGATATTATAATTATAATATTATCAAAAAAATTACTGCCTTAAAATTTAAAAAGTAAATAAAATTAATATTTTTGTAAGATAATATTACAGTAAAAATTACTAAATAAAATTAATATTTTAAGAGATGATAGTTTACTGCGAGTCATCACCGTGACCTTGCACTGGGCTCTGGGCCCACATGATTAAATGATTATTTGCTCTGTATTCAAGTTCAACTGTTCAAAGAGCAGCATCTCCTTTCTTTTCTCGAGCCGAGTGCCACAATCACGCTCGACAAAAAAGGGGCCTTGTAGGGTTTTGACATGACTACAATTTTCCGGACTATTATAGGGTCCAATGGGCCTGATCTATGCGGTATTTTAGATTTTTAATAACTGAAATCCAGGGCCATTATCATGTGGGCCCTTACCCTCTTTCTCCTTGATGGAGCGCAGATCCGAGGTTGGGCCATAAATTGATTACAATGCCATACGTCAATGGCACAAGGGTCCACTGTGTTCCATATAATCTTTAAGATGGATCTGCTGTAACCCGAAACAAAAAATATAAAAAAAAAAATTCCATCATCAATGAACCCAAGGCAATCAGAAAAAACTTATCCACACAAACAGATAATCAAAACTGGAAAAAGGAAAAAAAAAAGAAAAAAAAAAAAAGAAGGGAAAGTCGAGCAGTGCTTCAAATCAAGGAGGGGTTTTTTTAACTTTTATAGTGCGTTTAAATTAAGAGAAATGAAGAAAAATAGAAAATTTGTTAATTAATATTAAATATTATAATTTAATTAATCAAAAAAATTTTCTTTTTTGTCCTCTCCAATCAACCCAAACATAAGATTAAACTACCCTTAATATACTTTTTTATCACTAATTAATTTAAAAATAATAAAAACAAACAGTAATTTTATTATTAATACTATGTAAATCATTTTAAACTATATTTGGTACAGCTGATTATAAATTTTTTTAAACTCTAAAAATTTCAGTTACATCAAATACTATAATTTGTGAAAAATATTACCATTTTTCACAAATTAATTTTTTATCAAGTTCATTGGAAAGAAATTGATGTTTCTACCTAAGATTTTCATTTGGTTTTAATGAAATCAATGCATTATTCATATTTTATCATTATTTTTTTTTTCTATTTATAAAAATAATACTTCTATAATATTTTATTTCTAATAAAATTTTTAT